CAATTTTATAAGAATCATCAAAACGCAAGCGGCAGTGAGTGTGGAAAAGGCAAGATTAGGTAGGGTTTTTTTTCCCTTTTACCTTATGCTTGTCATGAAAGAACAGATAGGGGAGCATGTGAAAAAAGTCTTAACATGGTATTTTGGCTGTCTGTACTCAGCCCTTGTTCATAGATATCTTTACTACTTTTATTACATGATGACATTCTCCCCAAAATATGCTTTTGTTTGTGTTCCTTTACAGAGGGGGCTTTGTACAGCAGCAACAATTGAGCATGCCAAAATTTCCTTTCAGACTTCCAGTGTTACCGCTGGTATTACCAACAGATGATTCATCAGTAAAAAGTTTTATTGTCAGACAGGGAGACATCTCAAGGGGGTCCTATCCAAATCTTGCCTCTTCTTTCTTCTTCTTCTAAAACTTGCTACACTTAGAAATACACCTAGAATACACTTAGAAAATATGAGGAGACACTACAGAGGACAGGAATGGGATTCAAATTGTCTCAGATAAATAAGACAAATAGTCCTAAATAAACAAGATGAAAATGTCATAAAAATAAAGACAAGGAATTTAAGAATTACAGTGGATCCAAATATAAAATAGAAATTGGTCATTTGCTCCTCTTGGTGAAAGAGGGGGAGGAAAAAAAGGCAAATCTCATTCTGCATGCATGAACAGTACTATACAGGAGGTGCATAGAAGTGTGTGTTTGTGTATTTATACTGATTTAATGTTCTATTCAACTTGGTGTTGGTGAGGCCTCTGACAGTCCAGAGTACAGGAAGACTAATAAAAGATGCTGACAAACTGAAGAGGTGCACAGATGAGTGACAAGCCTGATAAAAGTTGAGGATATAGTCTATGAAGAAAGGCTGAAGGAATTAGGTTTATCTAGAAAAGAGAAATCTAAAGACAGAGTACTGAGCATTGCAAATACGCATCTTTACTGAAGTATTACTACCATAAGAATGTTATTTCAAGTCAATACTTACTTGCTTTGGTGAGAGTATTCATTTGTGATTTTTTTTTTTCTGTATTGCCTATGTTGGCTTATAAAAAGTCTGATGAATAGTTGATTCCCTTTGTCCATCAAAGGACAAGTGAAAATCTACCTAATTTGCTATGCACAAGGCTTAGGGAATATTCAGTAGAACTTTCTTACTCTTCAGGTAATGAATCACTGGAACTGGGGCTACCTACAAATACTGCATAATCTCCTTGGCTAAAAGTTTTTATGAAGTTGGATAAACATCTGTCAGGGATGGCTGAGGTTTATTTCATCTCACCTGGTTGAACTAGGGATCTGCTGAAATATCTCACAGCCCTACATTTCAACAGACAGGAAGAAAGAAATCAACTCAAACGTTCCGTTAAACTTTTAACTCCTCTTCACTTCCTTGGTTTTATTATCAGCCTTCTCCCTCCTGGTGATGACAATCTTGTTGTTGGTACTAATCAAGGGTACTCATCTGTGTCATAGAAAAGGCCAGTTGCCATACAAACAGAACTGCAGGCAGAAAAGAAAACAGTTTCTGTCCAGAATCTGCACAGGCAGGAGAGGAGCACAATGTGGGGAAGGGGTGAAAATACAAAAGTTTCTGAGTTTAATCTGTACCCTTTTATTTCTTTTATCTTCCTTTGCTCTTGCAAGAGTAACTTTCAGCATTTTCCAGCAGATTCCCCCCCCCATGCATGAGACACTTTCCCGCTAGTTTTTCTTATCCTGGACTCAGGTATCTCTGCATGAATTCTAGTTGCAATGGCTTTAACAAGGGGTGGGGGACTCATATTAAAATTTATCTCGCCTAAAATGCGTATAAAACTCTTCTTTGTAAAGCAGCTGATCAAGACTATCGGACCACAAAGGAGGTCTAAGACACTTGAAGATGCAGGGCACTGTCTCTCATGTTTTCAAAACAACAATCTTGCAAAAAGAGCACAGCTCTGAAAATCCTGTGAATATATGCTATTTTATCTTGTCTTGTACTGTGCTTAAGAAAGTCTGAAAAGAGATGCCAAATTGCTGAGTATTGGTATGTCAAAAATTCATTTTTAAAAAGTGATAAAGTGCAAGAACTCCCGGGTTCTGCATCTAGTCTTATTCTTTTACCAATACAGGAACAGAACATGTAATTTTGAACTTCTGTGTTAAAATTGTATGCAGACTATCCGTTTGTTTTGGCGCTACGGAAATCAAAAGCATATCGCTCCTTGACCTTATCAAAATTAGCATGAACTTACAAACTTATGGTTATACAGTTCCTAAATTTTTAGACATGTAATTTTTCTTCTGCTGCTCATTCTTTAGCATTCAAATGAATAACAACAACCAGAAGCTACTTTTTACCTGAGCAGGCAAAGTATCATCATCATCTAAAAAATGTTTTCCTCTGTAAATCAACAGTGGTCTTGCTAATTGTGGTAGCATCATTCAAGTTTAAGGTTGCTACAACATATCTGCAGGTCATTTTTTGTAACTGCATAAAATCTCATGGTTCTTTGTTTGAGAAAGGGCTCCAGTGCATCTTAAAATGTCTTTTTCTGCAACAAGAGACAATTTAATATGTTGAGTTTTAACCTTGTTTCAAGGTGGGTTTGTTTGTTTGTTTGTTTGTTGTTAATGCAGCAACTCTATTTATCCTTGGCAGAAAGTTTCATGCTTGCATGAGCTGAATCTTTATTGTCTTTTGGACTGGATGCCAACTTGAAACCTTTATTTGAAATATGTAGCATCACAAGAAATGTTAAGCTGCATGTCAGAATTAGAAGACTAGAACGAATTATCAGAGAAAACTTTGTAAATGGATAGTAAAAATATGTACAAACATATAAATATTGTTTGAAAGGTTAATATGCACTAGAGCTAATTTTACTTGAGAGAATAACATGAGGTTTATCTTTGTAATTTTAAAATTATAAAGAAGAAAATTCACCAAGCATCACTTACAAAAGTGAAAGGAACTTTTAAAGAAAAGCTGAAGCCACAAAACATTCACCTCTGCCTAAGTCACAAAATATTGACACAAAATAACAAGCATAATGCAAGCGCAAATTTAACAAACAATTATGCATGTGTTTACATTATATTCCCTCGGGTGGTCCTGTTTCCTTCTGTAAAACTATTCATGCGAACACAGTTAAGCACATGTGTTCACAGGAAAAGAGTTTGTGAGGTCTCATAAATAAATCCTGCTATGTAGTATCTGATAAAGGTCTTTTTACATCAGTATCAAGCTTAGAAACACAGAACACACATCACTGGACCTGACCTGTGGTCAGTGTCCTGTCCCAATCGGTGACCTATGCTAGATAATTGAAATTTATATATACATCACAGTGGGAGATATGGGACAATCTTTGCTTACAGTAGTCTTGTATCTCATTCGGTCCTTGACCTCAAAGCTATCCCATGCCAGTCCACACTGTGGTTTTTCAAAAAAAAAAAAAAAAAATCCAAAAACTTTTCTGTTAAAAAGTTTTAAATTTGCTTTTCTATTAGTAGACTGAGTATACAGACACTCCAGACTTACCTCCTCTATTCCAGCTGCCATTCTACATACATATATTTTGGCACATCAGCTTGTATACTTTATGAATTAAGTATTTTCAGTCTTCCTTCATGCAATAATTTTTTCTATTCATTTGCTTTTCCTCTTTCTAAATCTGCAGCATTCTTTTCGAAGTGTCCAGTATCATACACTGGTTTCAGAAGAAACAGCATTGTTGATCTATATAATGGCACTATAACTTTTTTTTAATCCTGCTCTCTAGGCAATTTTTTTTTCTGCTAGGCTGCACATTGAGCTGCATATTGTTATTCATGTCCCTTTTCTATGCAATGAACTAATTATATTTTAATGATCACTTACAGGTTTTTCCAATGAGTTACTTTTATCAACCTCAAACTTAATGTGCTTAGCTGTCTCTGAAGTGTCTCTCAAAACTGTCTGATTGAAATAACTCATAGTTTCAGGAAGCTGGTCAAGTTTTTAATTGTTTCAGTATAGGTTCAAGTGTAACTGAAGCTAGGATGCATAAAAGGATATTGTAAGTTTAACCATACACTTCAGGCTGAAGTTCAGTTATGAGTTTAAGTGCAATGCCAAAATAACTGTTGAGGTTCTGATCCGGTCTGGGAGTGGTTTTTATTCCACTCTGTAAACATGATCAAACTAGAAACTAGTGGCCTCCTTTCCACATCTACAGATGTTAGATAGTACTGGCTGTAGTCCGTGACCCTGAAGTACTATATGGCATTCACTTATTACCCCGATTAAAACTGGCTATTTAGCCCTACTTCTTTATTGCCTCTTCCTCGCTCTGTAACAGTACCCTTCCACATCTCCTTAGTTGTACATCTATGTAGCTCTCTGACTTTAATCTGTGAGGCAGTGTGTTAAAGGTTTTTGGAAGTCTGAATAACCTCTTGTCGAAACGAGTTGAAGCGCTACATGCACACACAGCACAAGACAGCATCAAAACGTAAAGAGCTAAAGGGGAAAGGGCCAGCGAAGGCCCCGGCCCCCTCCTGCCTCGCAGCACGGAGGTGCATTGCGCCGAAAAGGTTTTCCTTCGGGGATCCCTGCAGCCTGCTTGGCCAGGGCTTGCCGCGACTCCCCCTCCTCTCCCGA